ATATATATATATATATATATAAATCGCGTTCACCCCATGCAAAGTAGTAATACCACTAAGACTGGATGTAGAATAATTAGAAAACAGAAACATTAATAAGGAGTGAGGCCAAAAGAAGAGTAATCAGGTTGAGAGTAGATACCTATTGAGATTACATTGATATTTTTTTAAGTTGAATGTTAGCTGGAAAGCATAGAGCCGGAAGTGTGTTCCACAAGTGAGAAGTGCGAAGAAAGAAACTGTTAGCATAGAACTTATGGTTACGTCTAATTAACTCAACTATAAAGCAATTAATTTTCCCTACACACAACGCGTATAGACACATGCGATACACGTGCACACATCAGCCACCAACAAGGTAAGATAACACAGTTTCGGTGGTTAAGATGGTAGTACTGCAACCCATGACGCCACTAGCAGTTTTTGCACCTGTTTTTCGCTGTAGACGCTTCAGTGACTGCGGTTTTTGTGCAACTGCAAACCAGATTTTCCAAATTTTATGTTAAATAAAAAACGTTTGCTTTTGATAGTTAAACAAAACAAAACCTGCTCGCAGTGGCCATTATCAGTGACGTAAAATGGAGGTTAAACAGATGTGTTTCAGGTCGGAACTAGCAATATATACGTATATATATATATATATATATATATATATATATATATATATATATATATATATATATAAGAATATAGTTTTGAATATAGTGTGCTATATTTGTGGGATAAAGTGTTCAATATCAGAGATTGAGCGTATGTAAATATAAAAATGAACATTGAAGTCAACACTCAGAGGCGACAGACTGTTTCATGCTATTGCTCCTAGCATGAAACAGCCTGTCGCCTCTGAATTCTGTTCACTTATATATATATATATATATATATATATATATATATATATATATATATATATTATTTTGTCTGTCGCCTCTGAGTTTTTGACTTCAATGTTCATATATATATATATATATATGTATATATATATATATATATATATATATATATATATATATATATATAAACGGACATACAATGGAAATATATATATATATATATATATATATCGTATATTTCATTTGTCTGTCGCCTCTGTGTTTTGACTTCAATGTTCAGTTATATATATATATATATATATATATATATATATATATATACATATATATATATATATATTTTTTGCCGGCTTATATATATCGAACGATACATAAAATATGCATATGTTTTTACCTGTGTTATACATATTAAAAACTATTTCTTAAATTTAAACACTCATATAATATTTACTGAAAACGCTAATAGTCGGTTTCCTATTTTTTATAGAAATCTCTGTTCTTAATTTTGCTTTCAAATGGAAGCATCTATAATTGTTAACCTTCTGAGCTCAATATTATTTTAATAGGTTTAATTTATGTCCCTTTAATTGACCTCATTTTTTCTTTAGAGTAAATACGGCTTTCCTAGACGTAATTAATTAAATTCTTATTCTATAAACTATTCGCTTTAAAAACATTAAGCCACATTTTTTTTTGTTTTATCGTGTAAAAAGATTTGAAAGGACGTAAAGAATGAGAATTAAAGAAGGATTACTAAAATTAAATTACTCAGAGCTTTGTTATTTCGTAATTTTTGACATCCCTCAACAATGATTCGAATGGACAGCCGGTAGCGCGCTAATGACCTTGTTAAAAGAACCTGTCAACACAGACGTTAAGCTCCGAACTCGAGGCATGTACTTCAATAACTTCATCAGGTCTACGATTTCCAGTGAATGTCATGCAACTCGTTTAGTTTGGTTTGTTTTACGGCATATCAACACCTCAATGGGTTATTTACTGCTGACAAGATTTTTTAAAATAGATTCGTATGAATAGAATATGTATGGTTTTGTTTAATTTGGTTTGATTTGTTTTACTGCATATCAATAGCTCAATGGGTTATTTAATGCTGACAGCTTTCTAAAATAGGTTCGTATGAAGAGAATATGTATTGCTTGGTTTAACTTTGTTTTGATTGTTTTGTTTTACGGCATATCAACCTCAATGCTCCCACCTCGGGTCAGGGTGCACCTGGAAACACCAGCAATTAAGACGTGATTCCACGTTCCTCAAATCCTCCTGATCAGAGGCCTTGCAATTGGATGTAGTTTATGGTCTTACCCAGGACGCGGATGTATTTTATCATCTTACCCATGACGCGGATGTAGTTTATCATCATACCCAGGATGCGGATGTAGTTTATCGTCATACCCAGGACGCGGATGTAGTTTATGGTCTTACCCAGGACGCGGAGGTAGTTTATCGTCATACCCAGGACGGGAATGCAACTCGTCCGGAAATATCGAAACTATAAGCTGTATAAAAAAAGTGTTTTCACACACACACACACACACACACACACACACACAGACACACACACACACACACACACACACATATATATATATATATATATATATATATATATATATATATATATATATATATATATATATATATGCCTAGACTACAACTACTACTTAGCGTATTCAGCCCTCTACATTTTCGTTGTCTTTATACTCGCTTGGGTTTTCTTTTTTGGACTAAGGACTTAAGTCACTTGAGGATTTTTTTCGCCTTTGTTCTGATGTTTTTAGTTCTTTCTCTTTTTTACTTTCAATTTTTTTTTCCTCAGGTACCAATTTGCTCTCACGTGTCTATAAGTTGAGTCTTATGAGGTTTTTCGAGCAATAATACTGTTAATATATATATATATATATATATATATATATATATATATATATATATATATATATGATAAAATATATTTTTAATGTATGCAATATGGATTAAAGTGATCGATATCAGGGATAGAGCGTATGAAAATATAAAACTGAACAGTGATGTCGATATCCCGTGATGACAGTCTGGTTTTTGCAGAAACACTATTGTCAGACCATGTACTACGACGTCATTGGAGAATTTCAATATGCAGGCCAGTAGCTCATTATGGTTAGTATATATATATATATATATATATATATATATATATATGTGTGTGTGTGTGTGTGTGTGTGTGTGTGTGTGTGTGTGTGTGTGTGTGTGTGTGTGTGTTTATTTCTTTTGTTGACCTTTCATTCATACACCTTTTATTTGCATTTGCTTGAAGCGATTTGGCACGGATCACACAAATATTTCCGTAAATATGAACACCTTCCATACTATAACATTTTTTACACGACCAAAATGACAAATAACGAAAAGAGACCGGAAACAGAACATCGGGAACAAATAAAATATTAAGAAACATATTTACTTGCAAAAAAATATCTTTACATTTTTATTAAGTTATGAGATTAATTCGTTTTTATCCAATGTTATTTGAATGAATTTAGAAAATATTTTACCGTATTGCTTTATGTTTTTTTCTAGTTCTGTTCTTTTTATTCGCCTTTTGTTTATTCTTTTATATTATTGATTGATTTTTAAGATTGCTGATGAACAATAGGATTCAATTAAATGAAAAAAAATCAAACGAATTCATCTGACAACCCTATATATCATTTTCGACACACACGTGCTCTTATAAATAGAAGACACTGTTCACTTTCTTTCTAACAATTTAGAAGGTTAATGTACGTTAAATGACAGGGGTTCCTTTTCTCACCGGATTTTGTAAAGCAAGACGACCCTAAAGGAACCAACACACTTACCAAGGATTTATTTTGAACGCACATAGCCCTGACATCTGCAGAGTAAACGATCTTGATGACAGCCTCAGAAATAAAATTGAAGACATATTGTTATTTTTTTACGATTGTAAAGGCTTGTTTTTTACGGATTATCAATCATTAAGTTTTATTTAAAGAAGAAATATATTTTTGATTGTAATAATAAGAATAATAATAATAATAATAATAATAATGATAATAATAATAATAATTATTATTATTATTGTTTTTGTTATTATTGCAAGTGAAACAGATTTAAGAGATTTTGAGCATAACAATGAATTGTCCAAATAAAGTCTTATTATTTAACCGATAGCTGGGGAAGGAGATAGATTTATATTTTCCCCAAGTTTATTAGCCAGTAAGTGAATGCAGCGAACCTGGTTCTACAATTTCTCACCTATTACGATAGAAATGCAAACACGATTCTAAACGAAAACAAAATGAATTGTTTATTAACTGTAAGAGAAGAGAATGCACGGTTGTCAGAAAAAGAGGGAGCTCGACATGTGAACTAGGTAATGGGGACGTCAGAATGAAGGCGGTACAGAAATTTGATTATTATGTAAATGTTGTGAAAGACTACGGAAAATGCGTACGACATATAGGAAGGGGCGAAAGATATCTTTCAGAAAATAAGCAAAATATTAAGACATAGAAAAAAGCGTTGGAAACAAGGAAATGGGAATTGAAATACTATTTAATATCTATTTACACTATTCGAACTGTTCTTCTTATATTTACTGTCACATTCACGACGTTTCGGCCGTTGTACGCTCCGGGCTTCTTCAAGTGATATTTGATGAAATTTTGAACAGAACCCTTTATTGAATCCACGGGATGGGTAGATTTGTTCTAATTTCACGTAACAAGCCTTTGAAAGTTTCAGCTAATTTGCCTTGATAACTCTTCAAGATTTTATCCTCTGCGCGGATTGATCTCACAACTTTTTGGCTCAAGTCACTATTTTGATCAGTCAACCAACCAACGGTTTTGTTCACGGTCAGAACAATGTAAAGAGTGAAAATAGTTACAATAGCTCATCTATAGTTAGATGTAATATCTAATAGATTATATGACACGGAATACTGAAGAATCTCTTAATATATGAAGAGATTTGATGTGACAGTGTGTGTAAATGAATGGCAAAACAGGGACAGAAGTCAATGGTAAAGAGCCATACAAAGCTGTATGGGTGTGATGCTCCGAAACTCTACCATGAAAATACATACTTCATATAGCAACAACTGTAATAACACCTTTACTCTACACGAGAGAATACAAAGTGAACATTATTTTAATGCTGGGCAAAAAAGAAGACAAAGAATGCGTAGTTGACATCATGGGAAATAAGAGCAGAGACAAGGGGAAAATGGGTAACGAAAAGGAAAGAACAAAGAAGGTACAGTTGACAAAAATGGAGAAAAGAAAGATCAGAAAACAAAGAAGAAAACGGGGAAGGACAAACAAGACAACAAATATGGTATTGCTTAAAAAGTTGTGGAAAATAAAGAGCACAGAGGCAAAGAAAATATAAAATGCAAATAAGAGCACAAAGAAGAGTGACAAAAAGTGATAAAAGAAAATGCATAAAGAGAAAAAATGCTAGAGGATACAAATAACAGCACAAAGAATGCATAGATCATGAAAAGTGGGAAAAAAGGGCACGAAACAAATAAGAGCACAAATAAGGCACAGTTCAAAAAGCGAGGGAAAAGAAAAAATATACAGCCAAAAGAGAAAATAAAAATGGCAAATAAGAGCACAAATAAGGCATAGTTGAAAAAGCGAGGGAAAAGAAAGAGTATAGAGATAAAGGAGAAAATGCAAAAGACAAATAAGAGCACAAATAAGGCAGAGTTGAAAAAGCGAGGAAAAAGAAAGAGTATACAGACAAAGGAGAAAATACAAAAGGCAAATAAGAGCACAAATAAGGCATAGTTGAAAAAGCGAGGGAAAAGAAAGAGTATACAGACAAAGGAGAAAATACAAAAGGCAAATAAGAGCACAAATAAGGCATAGTTGAAAAAGACAGGGAAAAGAAATAGGATACAGACAAAGGAGAAAATACAAAAGGCAAATAAGAGCACAAATAAGGCATAGTTGAAAAAGCGAGGGAAAAGAAAGAGTATACAGAAAAGGGAGAAAATACAAAAGGCAAATAAGAGCACAAAAAAGGGATAGTTGAAAAGGCGAAGGAAAAGAAAGAGTATACAGACGAAGGAGAAAATACAAAAGGCAAATAAGAGCACAAATAAGGCATAGTTCAAAAAGCGAGGGAAAAGAAAGAGTATACAGACAAAGGAGAAAATACAAAAGGCAAATAAGAGCACAAATAAGGTATAGTTCAAAAAGCGAGGGAAAAGAAAGAGTATACAGAAAAAGGACAAAAATACAAAAGGGAAATAAGAGCACAAATAAGGCATAGTTGAAAAAGAGAGGGAAAAGAAAGAGTATACAAACAAAGGAGAAAATACAAAAGGCAAATAAGAGCACAAATAAGGCATAGTTGAAAAAGCGAGGGAAAAGAAAGAGTATACAGACAAAGGAGAAAATACAAAAGGCAAATAAGAGCACAAATAAGGCATAGATGAAAAAGCAAGGGAAAAGAAAAAGTATACAGACAAAGGAGAAAATACAAAAGGCAAAGTAGAGCACAAATAAGGCATGGTTGAAAAAGCGAGGTAAAAGAAAGAGTATACAGAAAACGGAGAACATACAAAAGGCAAATAATAGCACAAATAAGGCATAGTTGAAAAAGCGAGGGAAAAAAAGAGTATAGAGACAAAGGAGAAAATAAAAAAGGCAAATAAGAGCACAAATAAGGCATAGTTCAAAAAGCGAGGGAAAAGAAAGAGTATACAGACAAAGGAGAAAATACAAAAGGCAAATAAGAGCACAAATAAGGAATAGTTGAAAAAGCGAGGGAAAAGAAGGAGTATACAGACAAAGGAGAAAATACAAAAGGCAAATAAGAGCACAAATAAGGCATAGTTCAAAAAGCGAGGGAAAAGAAAGAGTATACAGAAAAAGGACAAAAATATAAAAAGGCAAATAAGAGCACCATTAAGGCATAGTTGAAAAAGTGAGGGAAAAGAAAGAGTATACAGACAAAGGAGAAAATACAAAAGGCAAATAAGAGCACAAATAAGGCATAGTTGAAAAGGAGGGAGAAGAAAAAATATATAGAGAAAATGAGAAAAATACAAAAGGCAAATAAGAGAACAAATAAGGCATAGTTCAAAAAGCGAGGGAAAAGAAAGTGTATACAGAAAAAGGACAAAAATACAAAAGGGAAATAAGAGCACTAATAAGGCATAGTTGAAAAAGCGAGGGAAAAGAAAGAGTATACAGACAAAGGACAAAAATACAAAAGGGAAATAAGAGCACAAATAAGGCATAGATGAAAAAGCAAGGGAAAAGAAAAAGTATACAGACAAAGGAGAAAATACAAAAGGCAAAGTAGAGCACAAATAAGGCATGGTTGAAAAAGCGAGGTAAAAGAAAGAGTATACAGAAAACGGAGAACATACAAAAGGCAAATAAGAGCACAAATAAGGCATAGTTGAAAAAAGGGAAAAAAGAGTATAGAGACAAAGGAAAAATAAAAAGGCAAATAAGAGCACAAATAAGGCCTAGTTCAAAAAAGCGAGGGAAAAGAAAGAGATAAAAAAGGAGAAAATACAAAAGGCAAATAAGAGCACAAATAAGGAATAGTTGAAAAAAGGGGGAAAGAAAGAGTATACAGACAAAGGAGAAAAAATACAAAAGGCAAATAAGAGCACAAATAAGGCATAGTTGAAAAAAGCGAGGGGGAAAAGAAAGAGAGACAGAAAAAGGACAAAAATATAAAAAGGCAAATAAGAGCACCATTAAGGCATAGTTGAAAAAGTGAGGGAAAAGAAAGAGTATACAGACAAAGGAGAAAATACAAAAGGCAAATAAGAGCACAAATAAGGCATAGTTGAAAAAGCGAGGGAGAAGAAAAAGTATACAGACAAATGAGAAAATACAAAAGGCAAATAAGAGAACAAATAAGGCATAGTTCAAAAAGCGAGGGAAAAGAAAGTGTATACAGAAAAAGGACAAAAATACAAAAGGGAAATAAGAGCACTAATAAGGCATAGTTGAAAAAGCGAGGGAAAAGAAAGAGTATACAGACAAAGGACAAAAATACAAAAGGGAAATAAGAGCACAAATAAGGCATAGTTGAAAAAGCGAGGGAAAAGAAAGAGTTTACAGACAAAGGAAAAATACAAAAGGCAAATAAGAGCATAAATAAGGCATAGTTCAAAAAGGGAGGGAAAAGAAAGAGTTTACAGACAAAGGAGATAATACAAAATGCAAATAAGAGCACAAAAAAAACATAGTTCAAAAAGCGACGGAAAAAAAGAGTATACAGAAAAAGGACAAAAATAAAAAAAGGAAATAAGAGCAAATAAGGCATAGTTGTAAAAAAGAGGGAAAAGAAAGAAAATAAAACAAAGGAGGGAAAATACAAAAGGCAAATAAGAGCAAAATAAGGCATAGTTGAAAAATAAAAAAGGCAAAAAAGAGCAAAAGGCAAATAAGAGCATAAATAAGGCATTGAAAAAGGAGGGAAAAGAAAGAGTATACAGACAAAGGAGAAAATACAAAAAGGCAAATAAGAGCACAAATAAGGCATAGTTAAAAGCGAGGGAAAAGAAAAGTATACAGAAAAAGGAGAAAATACAAAAAAAAAAATAAGAGCAAAAAAAGGGATGAAAAAGGACAAAAAAAAGAAAGAGATAAAGACAAAGGAGAAAAAAAAAAATAAAAAAAAGGAAAGTTCAAAAAGGAGGGAAAGAAAGAGTATACAGACAAAGGGAGAAAATACAAAAGGCAAAAAAGAGCACAAATAAGGAATAGTTCAAAAGCGAGGGAAAAGAAAGAGTATACAGAAAAAGGACAAAATACAAAGGAAATAAGAGCACAAATAAGGCATAGTTGAAAAAGAGAGGGAAAAGAAAAAAGTATACAGACAAAGGAGAAAAATACAAAAGGCAAATAAGAGCACAAATAAGGTATAGTTCAAAAAGCGAGGGAAAAGAAAGAGTATAAAGAAAAAGGACAAAAATACAAAAGGGAAATAAGAGCAAAATAAGGCATAGTTGAAAAAGAGAGGGAAAAGAAAGAGTATATAGAAACAGAGGAGAAAATACAAAAGGCAAAATAAGAGAAAAAATAGTTGAAAAGGGAAAAGAAAGAGTATACAACAAAGGAGAAAATACAAAAAGGCAAATAAGAGCACAAAAAGGATAGTTGAAAAGCGAGGGAAAAAGAAAGAGTATACAGAAAAGGAGAAAAAATACAAAAGGGAAATAAGAAAATAAGGCATAGTTCAAAAAAGCGAGGGAAAAGAAAGAGTATACAAACAAAGGAGAAAATACAAAAGGCAAATAAGAGCACAAATAAGGCATAGTTCAAAAAAGGAGGGAAAAGAAAATAGTATACAGACAAAGGAGAAAATACAAAAAAGGCAAATAAGAGCACATAGTTGAAAAAAGGGGGAAAAAGAAAGAAAGTATACAAAAAAGGATAAAATACAAAAGGGAAAAAGAAAAATAAGGCATATAGTTGAAAAAGGAGGGAAAATAAGAAAGGCAAAGAAAATACAAAAGAAAATAAGAGCACAAATAAGTTGAAAAAAAGCGAGGGAAAAGAAAGAGTATACAGACAAAGGACAAAAATACAAAAAATAAAATAAAAAAGCAAAAGGCAAATAAAAGCAAAGTAAAAAAAAGCATACAAAAAAAGGAAAAAAAAAGGCAAAATAAAGCACAAAAATAAAAAGGCATAGTTCAAAAAGTTGAAAAGAAAAAAAGGAGAAAAAAGGAGAAAATACAAAAGGCAAATAAGAGCAAAATAAGGCATAGTTGAAAAGCGAGGGAAAAAGAGAGACAAAGAAAAGGCAAAGAGTATACAAAAGGAGGGGAGAAATACAAAAGGCAAATAAGAGCACAAATAAGGCATAGTTGAAAAAGGAGGGAAAAAGAAAGAGTATACAGAAAAAGGAGAAAATACAAAAGGCAAATAAGAGCACAAATAAGGCATAGTTGAAAAAGCAGAGGGAAAAGAAAAAGTATACAGACAAAGGAGAAAATACAAAAAAGGCAAATAAGAGCACAAATAAGGCATAGTTGAAAAAAGAGGGAAAAGAAAGAGTATACAGAAAAAGGAGAAAATACAAAAAGGCAAATAAGAGCACAAATAAGGTATAGATTGAAAAAGCGAGGGAAAAGAAAGGTGCATACAGACAAAGGAGAAAAAAGGACAAAAATACAAATAGAAATAAGAAATAAGTTCAAAAGCGATAAAAGAAAGAGAAAAAAAGGAAAAATACAAAAAAAGGAAATAAGAGCACAAAAAGGTATAGTTGAAAAAAGCGAGGAAAAAGAAAAGTATACAGACAAAGGAGAAAAAAAAAAGAAATAAGAGCAAAATAAGGTATAGTTCAAAAAGCGAGGAAAAAGGATAAACAGAAAAATAAGACAAAATACAAAAAGGAAAATAAAGAGCACAAATAAGGCATAGTTGAAAAAAAGAGGGAAAAGAAAGAGTATACAGAAAAGGAAAAAAACAAAAAAGGCAAATAAGAGCACAAATAAGGCAAAAAGGAAAAAAAAGAGGGAAAAATAAAAAGGTAAATAAGAGCACAAATAAGACAAAAAAAAGGAGAAAGAGTACAAAGGAGAAAATAAGAAAGGAAAAATAAAAAGAATAGTTCAAAAAGGAGGGAAAAAAAAAGTATACAGACAAAGGACAAAATACAAAAGGCAAATAAGAGCACAAATAAGGCATAGTTGAAAAAGGGTAGGGAAAAGAAAGAGTATACAGAAAACAAAGGAGAAAATACAAAAGGAAATAGAGCACAAATAAGGCATAGTTGAAAAAAAGAAAAAGAAAAGAGTATACAAAAGGAGAAAATACAAAAAAAAATAAGAGCACAAATAAAGGATTGTTGAAAAGCTAAAAGAAAGAGTATACAGACAAAGGAGAAAATACAAAAGGCAAATAAGAGCACAAATAAGGTATAGTTGAAAAAACGAGGGAAAAAGAAAAAGTATACAGACAAAGGAAAAGAAAATACAAAAGGCAAATAAGAGCACAAATAAGGCAAAGTTCAAAAGAAAGAGAGACAAAGGAAAAGAAAGGCAAATAAGTAAAAAGGCATAGTTCAAAAGGGAGAAAAAAGAAAGAAAGACAAAGGAGAAAATACAAATAAATAAGAGCACAAATAAGGCATAGTTGAAAAAAAGCGAGGGAAAAAAAAAGTATACAGACAAAGGACAAAAAATAAAAAAGGGAAATAAGAGCACAAATAAAAACTAGTTAAAAAAGAGAGGAAAAGAAAAAATATACAAAAAGGAGAAAATACAAAAAGGCAAATAAGAGCACAAATAAAAGTATAGTTGAAAAGGGAGGGAAAAGAAAGAGTATACAGACAAAGGAGAAAATAAAAAAGGCAAATAAGAGCACAAATAAGGCATAGTTGAAAAAGAGGGAAAAAAAAGTATACAGACAAAGGAGAAAAATAAAAAGGCAAATAAGAAAAATAAGGCATAGTGAAAAACTGAGGGGAAAGAAAAATAAAAAGGAGAAAAAAAGCAAATAAGGCAAAGATAGTTGATAAAGAAAAAGGAGTAAAATAAAGGAGAAAAAACAAAAAGGCAAATAAGAAAATAAGGCATAGTTCAAAAAGAGAGGGAAAAGAAAGAGTATACAGACAAAGGAGAAAATACAAAAGGCAAATAAGAGCACAAATAAGGCATAGTTCAAAAAGGAGGAAAAAAGAAAGAGTATACAGAAAAGGAGAAAATACAAAAAAATGAGAAATAAGAGCACAAATAAAGGCATAAGTTGAAAAAGAAGGGAGGAAAAAAAGGATACAAAAAATGAGTATACATAAAAAGGAAAATAAAAGAGCACAAAAAGAAGAAAATAAAAAGGCAAATAAGAAAAATAAAAAAGGCAAAAAAAGAGCACAAATAAGGCATAGTTCAAAAAAAAGAGGGAAAAGAAAGGATACAGAAAAAGAGAAAATACAAAAAACAAATAAGAGCACAAATAAGGGATAGTTGAAAAGAAAAAAAGGGACAAAGGAGAAAATACAAAAGGCAAATAAGAGCACAAATAAGGCATAGTTCAAAAAAGAAAAAAAAGAATACAGACAAAGGAAAAATAAAAAAAGGCAAATAAGAGCAAAATAAGGACGGAAAAGGAAAAAAGAGTATAGAGAAAAGGAGAAAATACAAAAAAGCAAATAAGAGCACAAATAAGGCATAGTTCAAAAGAGAGGAAAAGAAATACAGACAAAGGAGAAAATAAAAAGGCAAATAAGACAAAATAGGTATAGAAAAAGAGGGAAAAGAGGAAATAAGAGGACAAAAAATAAAAACTGAAAAAAGAGCAAATAAGGTATAAAACATATAGTTGAAAAAGGAGGGAAAAGAAAGAGTATACAGAAAAAGGAAAAATACAAAAAGGCAAATAAGAGCACAAATAAGGCATAGTTGAAAAAAGCAAGGGAAAAGAAAAGTATACAGACAAAGGAGAAAATACAAAAAGGCAAATAAGAGCACAAATAAGGCATAGTTGAAAAAGCGAGGGAAAAGAAAAAAGTATACAGAAAAGGACAAAATACAAAAGGGAAATAAGAGCACAAATATGGCATAGTTGAAAAAAAGCGAGGAAAAGAAAGGTATACAGAAAAAGGAGAAAATACAAAAAGGCAAATAAGAGCACAAATAAGGCATAGTTGAAAAAGGAGAGGGAAAAGAAAGAGTATACAGACAAAGGAGAAAAAACAAAAAGGCAAATAAGAGCACAAATAAGGCATAGTTCAAAAAAGCGAGGAAAAGAAAGAGTATACAGACAAAGGAGAAAATACAAAAGGCAAATAAGAGCACAAATAAGGCATAGTTCAAAAAGCAAAAAGAAAAAAGAAAGAGTATACAGAAAAAGGACAAAAATACAAAAAAGGCAAATAAGAGCACAAATAAGGCATAGTTGAAAAGTGAGGGAAAAAGAAAGAGTATACAGACAAAGGAGAAAATACAAAAAGGCAAATAAGAGCACAAATAAGGCATAGTTGAAAAAGGGGAAAAGAAAAGTATACAGAAAAATGAGAAAATACAAAAAACAAATAAGAGCACAAATAAGGCATAGTTGAAAAAAGAGGGAAAAAGTGTATAGAAAAAGGAGAAAATACAAAAGGCAAATAAGAGCACAAATAAGGCATAGTTGAAAAAAAAGGGGGAAAGAAAGAAACAAAAAGGAGAAAAATAAAAGGAAATAAGAGAAAATAAGGCATAGAGGAAAAACAAGGAAAAGAAAAAGATACAGACAAATAAAATACAAGGCAAATAAGAGCACAAATAAGGCATAGATGTAAAAAGCGAGGGAAAAGAAAGAGTATACACAAAAAGGAGAAAAATACAAAAGGCAAATAAGAGCACAAATAAGGCAAAGAAAAAGCGAGGGAAAAAGAAAGAGTATACAGACAAAGACAAAAATATAAAAATAATAAGAGCACAAATAAGGCATAGTTGAAAAAGTGAGGGAAAAGAAAGAGTATACAGACAAAGGAAAAATACAAAAAGGCAAATAAGAGCACAAATAAGGCATAGTTGAAAAAAAAGGGGAAAAAAGAAGAATACAGAAAAAGGAGAAAAAATACAAAAAAGGAAATAAGAGCACAAATAAGGCATAGTTGAAAAAAGCAGGGAAAAGAAAGAGTATACAGAAAAGGAGAAAATACAAAAGGCAAATAAGAGCACAAATAAGGCATAGTTCAAAAAGGGGAAAAGAAAGAGTATACAGACAAAGGAGAAAAACACAAAAGGCAAATAAGAGACAAATAAATAGTTCAAAAAGCGAGGGAAAAGAAAGAGTATACAAAAAAGGAGAAAAAGGGGAGCAAAAAGGCCAATAAGAGAGAACAAATAAAACATAGGAGAAAAAGGGAGCAAAAAAAAAAAGCAAAAAGAAAAATAAGACAAAGCAGAAAATAAAAAGGCAAATAAGAGGGAAAATATATGGCATAGAAAAGGAGGAAAAGAAAGAGTATACAGACAAAGGAGAAAATACAAAAGGCAAATAAGAGCACTAATATGGCATAGTTGAAAAAGCGAGGGAAAAGAAAGAGTATACAGAAAAGGAAGAAAATACAAAAGGCAAATAAGAGCACAAATAAGGCATAGTTCAAAAAGGGAGGGAAAAGAAAGAGTATACAGACAAAGGAGAAAAAACAAAAGGCAAATAAGAGCACAAATAAGGCATAGTTGAAAAAGCGAGGGAAAAGAAAGAGTATACAGACAAAGGAGAAAATACAAAAGGCAAATAAGAGCACAAATAAGGCATAGTTGAAAAAGAAAGAGGGAAAAGAAAGAGTATACAGACAAAGGAGAAAATACAAAGGAGAAATAAGAGCACAAATAAGGTATAGTTGAAAAAAGAGAGGGAAAGTTGAAAATACAGACAACGGAGAAAATAAAAAAAGTAATAAGAGACAAATAAGAGATAGTTGAAAAGCAAAAAAAGAAAGAGTACAAAAAAGGGAAATAAGAAAGCAAATAAGAGGCAAATAAGGCATAGTTGAAAAAGCGAGGGAAAAGAAAGAGTATACACACAAAGGAGAAAAATACAAAAGGCAAATAAGAGCACAAATAAGGCATAGTTGAAAAAAGGAGGGAAAAGAAAGAGTATACAGACAAAGGAGAAAAATACAAAAGGCAAATAAGAGCACAAATAAGGTATAGTTGGAAAAGGGGGAAAAAAGAAAGAGTATACAGACAAAGGAGAAAATACAAAAGGCAAATAAGAGCACAAATAAGGCATAGTTGAAAAAGAGAGGGAAAAGAAAGAGTATACAGACAAAGGAGAAAATACAAAAGGCAAATAAGAGCACAAATAAGGCCCTAAAAGAGTAAAAAGGAGGGAAAAGAAAGAAATAAGAGCAAATAAGGTATACAGAAAAAGGAGAAAAAACAAGGAGAAAATAAAAAGGCAAATAAGAGCACAAATAAGGCATAGTTGAAAAGCGAGGGAAAAGAAAAAAGTATACAGACAAAGGAGAAAATACAAAAAGGCAAATAAGAGCACAAATAAGGCATAGTTGAAAAAGCGAGGGAAAAGAAAGAGTATACAGACAAATGAGAAAATACAAAAGGCAAATAAGAGCACAAATAAGGCATAGTTCAAAAAGCGAGGGAAAAGAAAGTGTATACAGAAAAAGGACAAAAATACAAAAGGGAAATAAGAGCACTAATATGGCATAGTTGAAAAAGCGAGGGAAAAGAAAGAGTATACAGAAAAGGAAGAAAATACAAAAGGCAAATAAGAGCACAAATAAGGCATAGTTGAAAAGCGAGGGAAAAGAAAGAGTATACAGACAAAGGAGAAAATACAAAAGGAAATAAGAGCACAAATATGGCATAGTTGAAAAAGCAAGGGAAAAGAAAGAGTATACAAACAAAGGAGAAAATAAAAAGGCAAAATAGAAAAAGCAAAAGAAAATAAGAGCAAATAAGGCATAGTTGAAAAAAGAGAGGGAAAAGAAAAGAGTATACAGACAAAGGAGAAAATACAAAAGGCAAATAAGAGCACAAATAAGGCATAGTTGAAAAGGAGGGAAAAGAAAGAGTATACAGACAAAGGAGAAAATACAAAAGGCAAATAAGAGCACAAATAAAGTATAGTTGAAAAGTGAGGGAAAAGAAAGAGTATACAGACAAAGGAGAAAAATACAAAAGGCAAATAAGAGCACAAATAAGGTATAGTTGAAAAAGGGGAAAAAAGAAAGAAAAAGAGAAAAAAGGAGAAAAATACAAAAGGCAAATAAGAGCAATAAATAAGGCATAGTTGAAAAAGAGGGAAAAAAAGAGTATACAGACAAAGGAAAAATGGAGAAAAAAGGTATAAAAAAGGACAAATAAGAGTATAAGAAAAGGACAAAATTGGAAAAAGAGAAATAAGGCATAGAAAAGAAAAAGAAAGAGTACAGACAAAGGAGAAAATACAAAAGGCAAATAAGAGCACAAATAAGGCATAGTTGAAAAGCGAAAAAGAAAGAGGGAAAAGAAATAAGAGTATAAAAAGCAGAAAAAAGGAGAAAATACAAAAGGCAAATAAGAGCACAAATAAGGTATAAGTTGAAAAGCGAGGGAAAAGAAAAATACAAAGAGAATACAGACAAAGGAGAAAATAAAAAAAGGCAAATAAGAGCACAAATAAGGCATAGTTGAAAAAGCGAGGGAAAAGAAAGAGTATACAGACAAAGGAGAAAATACAAAAGGCAAATAAGAGCACAAATAAGGCATAGTTGAAAAAGCGAGGGAAAAGAAAGAGTATACAGACAAAGGAGAAAATACAAAAGGCAAATAAGAGCACAAATAAGGCATAGTTGAAAAAGCGAGGGAAAAGAAAGAGTATACAGACAAAGGAAAAATACAAAGGCAAATAAGAGCACAAATAAGGCATAGTTGAAAAAGGAGGGAAAAGAAAGAGTATACAGACAAAGGAGAAAATACAAAAGGCAAATAAGAGCACAAATAAGGGAAAAGTTGAAAAAGGAGAGAAAAAAAAAAAAGAGTATACAAAAGGCAAAAGGAGAAAATACAAAAAACAAATAAGAGGAGAAAAATAAGGTATAATAAGGCATAAAAAAGAGAGGGAAAAGAAAAGTATATAGAAAAGGAGAAAATACAAAAGGCAAATAAGAGCACAAATAAGGCATAGTTGAAAAAGCGAGGGAAAAGAAAGAGAGAAAATACAGAAAAGGAGAAAATACAAAAGGAAATAAGAGCACAACATGGCATAGTTGGAAAAAGCGAGGGAAAAGAAAGAGTATACAGACAAAGGAGAAAAATACAAAAGGCAAATAAGAGCCCAAATAAGGATAGAAAAAAGCGAGGAGAAAGAAGAAAGAAAGAAAAAAAAGACAAAAAGAAAAACAAAAGGCAAATAAGAGCACAAATAAGGCATAGTTTGAAAAGAGAGGGAAAAAGAAAGAGGATACAGACAAAGGAGAAAAGAGAAAAAAAGACAAATAAAGAGCACAAATAAGGCATAAGTTGAAAAAGGAGGGAAAAGAAAGAGTATACAGACAAAGGAGAAAATACAAAAAGGCAAATAAGAGCACAAATAAGGCATAGTTGGAAAAAAGAAAAAGGGAAAGAAAGAAAATAAAGGCAGACAAAGGAGAAAATACAAAAAGGCAAATAAAAGAGAACAAATAAGGCATAGTTGAAAAAAAGCGAGGAAAAGAAAAAAAAGGAGAAAATACAAAAGGCAAATAAGAGAGAAAATAGTTGAAAAAGGCAAATAAGAGCAGACAAAGAAAAAATACAAAAAAGGCAAATAAGAGCAAATAAAAAAAAGCGAGGAAAAAAAAAGATTATACAGACAAAGGAGAAAATACAAAAGGCAAATAAGAGCACAAATAAAGGCATAGTTGAAAAAAGAGGGAAAAGAAAGAGTATACAAGACAAAGGAGAAAATACAAAAGGCAAATAAGAGCACAAATAAGGCATAGTTGAAAAAGCGAGGGAAAAGAAAAAGTATACAGACAAAGGAGAAAATACAAAAAAAAATAAGAGCACAAATAAGGCATAGTTGAAAAAGCGAAATATAAAGAAAAAAAAAGTATACAGACAAAGGAGAAAATACAAAAAGAGAAATAAGAGCACAAATAAGGCATAGATGAAAAAAGCAAAAGGAAAAAAGAAAGAGTATACAGACAAAGGAGAAAATACAAAAAAGGCAAATAAGAGCACAAATAAGGCATAGTTGAAAAAGCGAGGGAAAAGAAAGTGTATACAGACAAAGGAGAAAATACAAAACGCAAATAAGAGCACAAATAAGGCATAGTTGAAAAAAAAAGGAGGAAAAGAAAGAGTATACAGACAAAGGAGAAAATACAAAAGGCAAATAAGAGCACAAATAAGGCATAGTTGAAAAGGAGGAAAAAAGAAAGAGTATACAGACAAAGGAGAAAATACAAAAAGCAAATAAGAGAGCACAAATAAGGCATAGTTGAAAAAGGAGGGAAAAAAAGAGTATACAGACAAAGGAGAAAAAATACAAAAGGCAAATAAGAGCACAAATAAGGTATAGACAAAAAGGAGGGAAAATAGAGTATACAGAAAAGGAGAAAAATACAAAAGGCAAATAAGAGCACAAATAAGGCATAGTTGAAAAAGCGAGGGAAAAAAAAAGGAGAAAATACAGACAAAAAGGAGAAAATACAAAAAAAGGCAAATAAGAGCACAAATAAGGCGCATAGTTGAAAAAGCGAGGGAAAGAAAAAGTATACAGAAAAAGGACAAAAATACAAAAGGCAAATAAGAGCACAAATAAGGCATAGTTGAAAAAGCGAGGGAAAAGAAAGAGTATACAGACAAAGGAGAAAATACAAAAGGCAAATAAGAGCACAAATAAGGCATAGTTGAAAAAGCGAGGGAAAAGAAAGAGTATACAGACAAAGGAGAAAATACAAAAGGCAAATAAGAGCACAAATAAGGTATATTGAAAAAAGGAGGGAAAAAGAAAGATACAGACAAAGGAAAAAATACAAAAGGCAAATAAGAGCACAAATAAGGCATAGTTGAAAAGCGAGGGAAAAGAAAGAGTATACAGAAAAAGGAAAAAAAAAGAAATAAGAGCACAAATAGACAAAAGGAGGGAAAAAAAGTATACAAAAAGGAGAAAAAACAAAAGGCAAATAAGAGCACAAATAAGGCATAGTTGAAAAAGCGAGGGAAAAGAAAAAGTATACAGACAAAGGAAAAAATACAAAAGGAATAAGAAAAATACAAAAAAGAAAGAGATTCAAACAAATAAGAAAAGGCAAATAAGAATAAATAAGGCATAGTTGAAAAAGCGAGGGAAAAAGAAAGAGTATACAGACAAAGGAGAAAATACAAAAGGCAAATAAGAACAAATAAAAGCATAGTTGAAAAAGGAGGGGAAAAGAAAGAGTATACAGAAAAAGGAGAAAATACAAAAGACAAATAAGAGCACAAATAAGGCATAGTTGAAAAAGGAGGGGAAAAGAAAGAGTATACAGACAAAGGAGAAAATACAAAAGGCAAATAAGAGCACAAATAAAAGCATAGTTGAAAAAAAAGAGTATAGGGAAAAGGAGAAAATAAAAAAGGCAAATAAGAGCATACAGACAAAAAAAACAGGGAAAAGAAAAGTATACAAAAAGGCAAATAAGAAAACAAATAAGAGCATAGTTGAAAAAGCAAGGGAAAAGAAAGAGTATACAGACAAAGGAGAAAAATACAAAAGGCAAATAAGAGCACAAATAAGGCATAGTTGAAAAAAGCAAAGGAAAAGAAAGAGTATACAGAAAAGGAGAAAAAATACAAAAAGGCAAATAAGAGCACAAATAAAGGCATAAGTTAAAAAAGGAAAAATGGAAAGAAAAGAGTATACAGAAAAAAGAGAAAAAAAAAAAGGCAAATAAGAGCAAAAATAAGGCATAGTTGGAAAAGCAAAAAAGAAAGAGTATACAGAAAAAGGAGAAAATACAAAAGAAAATAAGAGCACAAATAAGGCATAGTTGAAAAAAGGGAGGGAAAAGAAAAGATACAGACAAAGGAGAAAATACAAAAGGCAAATAAGAGCACAAATAAGGCATAGTTGAAAAAGCAAGGGAAAAGAAAGAGTATACAGACAAAGGAGAAAATACAAAAGGCAAATAAGAGCACAAATAAGGCATAGTTGAAAAAGAAAGGAAAGAAAGAAAGACAAAGGAGAAAATATAAAAAGGCAAATAAGAGCAAAATAAGGATAGAAAAGGGAGGAAAAAAGGCAAATAAGAAGGAGAAAAATACAAAATAAGAGCATAAGTTGAAAAAGCGAGGAAAAGAAAAGAGTATACAGACAAAGGAGAAAATACAAAAGGCAAATAAGAGCACAAATAAGGCATAGTTGAAAAAAAGAGGGAAAAGAAAAATACAAAAGTAAATACAGACAAAGGAAAAGAAAAAAAAGAGTACAAAAAAGGAGCAAATAAAAAAGAGCAAAAATAAAGGCATAGTTGAAAAAAGAGGGAAAAGAAAGAGTATACAGACAAAGGAGAAAATACAAAAGGCAAATAAGAGCACAAATAAGGCATAGTTGAAAAAGCAAGGGAAAAAGAAAGAGTATACAGACAAAGGAGAAAATACAAAAAGAAAATAAGAGCACAAATAAGGCATAGTTGAAAAAGCGAGGGAAAAGAAAGAGTATACAGACAAAAGGAATAAGAAAAATACAAAAAAAAAGGGGAAATAAGAGTATACAGACAAAGAAAATAAAAGGCAAATAAGAGCAATAAAGGCATAGTTGAAAAAGGGGAAAAGAAAAGAGTATACAGACAAAGGGAGAAAATACAAAAGGCAAATAAGAGGACACAAATAAATAAGGGCATAGTTGAAAAGGAGGGAAAAAAGAGTATACAGACAAAGGAGAAAATACAAAAAGAGCAAAATAAGGCATAGTTGAAAAAGGGAAAAGAAAGTTGAAAAAAGGAGAAAAAAAAAAGAAATAAGAGCACAAATAAGGCATAGAAAAAGGACAAAAAAGAGTACAAAAAAATAATAAGAGGCAAATAAGAACTAATAAGGCATAGTTGAAAAAGCGAGGGAAAAGAAAGAGTATACAGACAAAGGAGAAAAATACAAAAGGCAAATAAGAGCACAAATATGGCATAGTTTTTGAAAAAGGAAAAGAAAGAGTATACAGAAAAGGAAAAAATACAAAAAAAAAAAATAAGAGCACAAATAAGGCATAGTTGAAAAAGCAAGGGAAAAGAAAAGATATAAACAAAGGAGAAAATACAAAAAAGGCAAATAAGAGCACAAATAAGGCATAGTTGAAAAAGCGAGAGGAAAAAAAAGAGTATACAGAAAAAGGAGAAAATACAAAAAATAAGACAAATAAGAAAAGCACAAATAAAGCATAGTTGAAAAATAAGGAATAGTTCAAAAGAGGGAAAAGAAAGAGTATACAGACAAAGGAGAAAATACAAAAAAGGCAATAAGAGCACAAATAAGGCATAGTTGAAAAAGCAAAGGAAAAAAAAAAGAGTATACAGACAAAGGAGAAAATACAAAAGGCAAATAAGAGAACAAATAAGGCATAGTTGAAAAAGCAAGGGAAAAGAAAGAATATACAGACAAAGGAGAAAATACAAAAGGCAAATAAGAGCACAAATAAGGCATAGTTGAAAAAGCGAGGAAAAGAAAAAGAAAATACAAACAAAGGAGAAAATAAAAAACGCATATAAGAGCACAAATAAGGCATAGTTCAAAAAAAGAGGGGAAAAGAAAGAAAGTATACAGACAAAGGAGAAAATACAAAAGGCAAATAAGAGCACAAATAAGGCATAGTTGAAAAAGCGAGGGAAAAGAAAGAGTATACAGACAAAGGAGAAAATACAAAAGGCAAATAAGAGCACAAATAAGGCATAGTTGAAAAAGCGAGGGAAAAGAAAGTGTATACAGACAAAGGAGAAAATACAAAAGGCCAATAAGAGCAAATAAAAATAAAAGGCATAGGCAAATAAGAGCACAAATGAAAAAAAAGCAAGGAAAAAGAAAGAGTATACAGACAAAGGAGAAAAAACAAAAAAGGCAAATAAGAGCACAAATAAAAAGGCATAGTTGTAAAAGCGAGGGAAAAGAAAGAGTATACAGACAAAGGAGAAAATACAAAAGGCAAATAAGAGCACAAATAAGGCATAGTTGAAAAAGCGAGGGAAAAGAAAGAGTATACAGACAAAGGAGAAAATACAAAAGGCAAATAAGAGCACAAATATGGCATAGTTGGAAAAGCGAGTGAAAAGAAAGAGTATACAGACAAAGGAGAAAATACAAAAGACAAATAAGAGCACAAATAAGGCATAGTTGAAAAAGAGAGGGAAAAGAAAGAGTATACAGACAAAGGACAAAAATACAAAAGGCAAATAAGAGCACTAGTAAGGCATAGTTAAAAAAGCGAGTGTAAAGAAAGAGTATAGAGAAAAAGGAGAAAAATACAAAAGGGAAATAAGAGCACAAATATGGCATAGTTGAAAAAGCGAGGGAAAAGAAAGAGTATACAGACAAAGGAGAAAATACAAAAGGCAAATAAGAGCCCAAATAAGGCATAGTTGAAAAAGCAAGGGAAAAGAAAGATTATACAGACAAAGGAGAAAATACAAAAGGCAAATAAGAGCACAAATAAGGCATAGTTGGAAAAGCGAGTGAAAAGAAAGAGTATACAGACAAAGGAGAAAATACAAAAGACAAATAAGAGCACAAATAAAGCATAGTTGAAAAAGAGAGGGAAAAGAAAGAGTATACAGACAAAGGAGAAAATACAAAAGGCAAATAATAAGAGCACAAATAAGGCATAGTTGAAAAGAGAAAGGGAAAAAAAAAGAGTATACAAACAAGAGAAAATACAAAAGGCAAATAAGAACAAATAAGGCATAGTTGAAAAAAAAGTAAGGAAAAGAAAGAATATACAGACAAAGGAGAAAATACAAAAGGCAAATAAGAGCACAAATAAGGCATAGTTGAAAAAGCGAGGGAAAAGAAAAAGAATACAGACAAAGGAGAAAATACAAAACGCATATAAGAGCACAAATAAGGCATAGTTCAAAAAGCGAGGGAAAAGAAAGTGTATACAGACAAAGGAGAAAATACAAAAGGCAAATAAGAGCACAAATAAGGCATAGTTGAAAAAGCGAGGGAAAAGAAAGAGTATACAGACAAAGGAAAAAATACAAAAGGCAAATAAGAGCACAAATAAGGCATAGTTGACAAAGCGAGGGAAAAGAAAGTGTATACAGACAAAGAAGAATATACAAAAGTCAAATAAGTGCACAAATAAGGCATAGTTGAAAAAGCGAAGGAAAAGAAAGAGTATACAGACAAAAGAGAAAATACAAAAGGCAAATAAGAGCACAAATAAGGCATAGTTGACAAAGCGAGGGAAAAGAAAGTGTATACAGACAATGGAGAAAATACAAAAGGCAAATAAGAGCACAAATAGGTCATAGTTGAAAAAGCGAGGGAAAGGAAAGAGTATACAGACAAAGGAGAAAATACAAAAAAGCAAATAAGAGCACAAATAAGGCATAGTTGAAAAAGAGGGAAAAGAAAGAGTATACAGACAAAGGAGAAAATACAAAAAAGCAAATAAGAGCACAAATAAGGCATAGTTGAAAAAGAGGGAAAAAAGAAAGCGTATACAGACAAAGGAGAAAATACAAAAGGCAAATAAGAGCACAAATAAGGCATAGTTGAAAAAAAATGCGAGGGAAAAGAAAGAGTATACAGAAAAGGACAAAAAATACAAAAGGGAAATAAGTACAAATAAGGCATAGTTGAAAAAAAAGCCAGGGAAAAGAAAGAGTATACAGAAAAGGAGAAAATACAAAAAAGGCATATAAGAGCACAAATTAGGCATATTTTAAAAATTGAGGGAAAAGAAAGTGTATACAGAAAAGGGAGAAAATACAAAAGGCAAATAAGAGCACAAATAGGGCATAGTTGAAAAAGCGAGGGAAAAGAAAAAGTATACAGACAAAGGAGAAAATACAAAACGCATATAAGAGCACAAATAAGGCATAGTTCAAAAAGCGAGGGAAGAGAAAGAGTATACAGAAAAAAGACAAAAATACAAAAGGGAAATAAGAGCACAAATAAGGCATAGTTGCAAAAAGCGAGGGAAAAGTAAGAGTATACAAACAAAGGAGAAAATACAAAAGACAAATAAGAGCACAAATAAAGCATAGTTGAAAAAGAGAGGGAAAAGAAAGAGTATACAGACAAAGGAGAAAATACAAAAGACAAATAAGAGCACAAATAAAGCATAGTTGAAAAAGAGAGGGAAAAGAAAGAGTATACAGACAAAGGAGAAAATACAAAAGGCCAATAAGAGCACAAATAAGGCATAGTTGAAAAAGCAAGGGAAAAGAAAGAGTATACAGACAAAGGAGAAAATACAAAAGGCAAATAAGAGAACAAATAAGGCATAGTTGAAAAAGCAAGGGAAAAGAAAGAATATACAGACAAAGGAGAAAATACAAAAGGCAAATAAGAGCACTAGTAAGGCATAGTTAAAAAAGCGAGTGTAAAGAAAGAGTATAGAGAAAAAGGAGAAAAATACAAAAGGCAAATAAGAGAACAAATAAGGCATAGTTGAAAAAGCAAGGGAAAAGAAAGATTATACAGACAAAGGAGAAAATACAAAAGGCAAATAAGAGAACAAATAAGGCATAGTTCAAAAAGCGAGGGAAGAGAAAGAGTATACAGAAAAAAGACAAAAATACAAAAGGCAAATAAGAGCACAAATAAGGCATAGTTGGAAAAGCGAGTGAAAAGAAAGAGTATACAGACAAAGGAGAAAATACAAAAGACAAATAAGAGCACAAATAAAGCATAGTTGAAAAAGAGAGGGAAAAGAAAGAGTATACAGACAAAGGAGAAAATACAAAAGGCCAATAAGAGCACAAATAAGGCATAGTTGAAAAAGCAAGGGAAAAGAAAGAGTATACAGACAAAGGAGAAAATACAAAAGGCAAATAAGAGAACAAATAAGGCATAGTTGAAAAAGCAAGGGAAAAGAAAGAATATACAGACAAAGGAGAAAATACAAAAGGCAAATAAGAGCACAAATAAGGCATAGTTGAAAAAGCGAGGGAAAAGAAAAAGAATACAGACAAAGGAGAAAATACAAAACGCATATAAGAGCACAAATAAGGCATAGTTCAAAAAGCGAGGGAAAAGAAAGAGTATACAGACAAAAGAGAAAATACAAAAGGCAAATAAGAGCACAAATAAGGCATAGTTGAAAAAGCGAGGGAAAAGAAAGAGTATACAGACAAAGGAAAAAATACAAAAGGCAAATAAGAGCACAAATAAGGCATAGTTGACAAAGCGAGGGAAAAGAAAGAGTATACAGACAAAGTAGAATATACAAAAGTCAAATAAGAGCACAAATAAGGCATAGTTGAAAAAGCGAAGGAAAAGAAAGAGTATACAGACAAAAGAGAAAATACAAAAGGCAAATAAGAGCACAAATAAGGCATAGTTGACAAAGCGAGGGAAAAGAAAGAGTATACAGACAAAGGAGAAAATACAAAAGGCAAATAAGAGCACAAATAGGTCATAGTTGAAAAAGCGAGGGAAAGGAAAGAGTATACAGACAAAGGAGAAAATACAAAAGGCAAATAAGAGCACAAATAAGGCATAGTTGAAAAAGCGAGGGAAAAGAAAGAGTATACAGACAAAGGAGTAAATACAAAAAGCAAATAAGAGCACAAATAAGGCATAGTTGAAAAAGCGAGGGAAAAGAAAGAGTATACAGACAAAGGAGAAAATACAAAAGGCAAATAAGAGCACAAATAAGGCATAGTTGAAAAAGCGAGGGAAAAGAAAGAGTATACAGAAAAAGGACAAAAATACAAAAGGGAAATAAGTGCACAAATAAGGCATAGTTGAAAAAGCCAGGGAAAAGAAAGAGTATACAGAAAAGGGAGAAAATACAAAAGGCATATAAGAGCACAAATTAGGCATATTTTAAAAATTGAGGGAAAAGAAAGTGTATACAGAAAAGGGAGAAAATACAAAAGGCAAATAAGAGCACAAATAGGGCATAGTTGAAAAAGCGAGGGAAAAGAAAAAGTATACAGACAAAGGAGAAAATACAAAACGCATATAAGAGCACAAATAAGGCATAGTTCAAAAAGCGAGGGAAAAGAAAGAGTATACAGAAAAAAGACAAAAATACAAAAGGGAAATAAGAGCACAAATAAGGCATAGTTGCAAAAAGCGAGGGAAAAGTAAGAGTATACAAACAAAGGAGAAAATACAAAAGGCAAATAAGAGCACAAATAAGGCATAGTTCAAAAAGCGAGGGAAAAGAAAGTGTATAAAAAAAAGGACAAAAATACAAAAGAAAAATAAGAGCACAAATTAGGCATAGTTGAAAAAGCCAGGGAAAAGAAAGAGTATACAAACAAAGGAGAAAATACAAAAGGCAAATAAGAGCACAAATAAGGCATAGTTCAAAAAGCGACGGAAAAAAAAGTGTATACAGAAAAAGGACAAAAATACAAAAGGGAAATAAGAGCACAAATAAGGCATAGTTGAAAAAGCGAGGGAAAAGAAAGAATATACAAACAAAGGAGAAAATACAAAAGGCAAATAAGAGCACAAGTAAGGCATAGTTCAAAAAGCGAGGGAAAAGAAAGTGTATACAGAAAAAGGACAAAAATACAAAAAGGAAATAAGAGCACAAATAAGGCATAGTTGAAAAAGCGAGGGAAAAGAAAGAGTATACACACAAAGGAGAAAATACAAAAGGCAAATAAGAGCACAAATAAGGCATAGTTCAAAAAGCGAGGGAAAAGAAAGTGTATACAAAAAAAGGACAAAAATACAAAAGGGAAATAAGAGCACAAATAAGGCATAGTTGAAAAAGCGAGGGAAAAGAAATAGTATACAGACAAAGGAGAAAATACAAAAGGCAAATAAGAGCACAAATAAGGCATAGTTGAAAAAGCGAGTGAAACGTAATAGTATACAGAAAAGGGAGAAAATACAAAAGGCAAATAATAGCACAAATAAGGCATAGTTCAAAAAGCGAGGGAAAAGATAGAATATACAAACAAAGGAGAAAATACAAAAGGCAAATAAGCGCACAAATAAGGCATAGTTGAAAAAGCGAGGGAAAATAAAAAGTATACACACAAAGGAGAAAATACAAAAGGCAAATAAGAGCACAAATAAGGCATAATTGAAAAAGCGAGGGAAAAGAAAGAGTATACAGACAAAGGAGAAAATACAAAAGGCAAATAAGAGCACAATTAAGGCATAGTTGAAAAAGCGAGGGAAAAGAATGAGTATACAGACAAAGGAGAAAATACAAAAGGCAAATAAGAGCACAAATAAGGCATAGTTGAAAAAGCGAGGGAAAAGAAAGAGTATACAGAATATGGCGAAAATACAAAAGGCAAATAAGAGCACAAATAAGGCGTAGTTGAAAAAGCGAGGGAAAAGTAAGAGTATACAGAAAAGGGAGAAAATACAAAAGGCAAATAAGAGCACAAATAAGGCATAGTTGAAAAAGCGAGGTAAAAGTAAGAGTATACAGAAAAGGGAGAAAATACAAAAGGCAAATAAGAGCACAAATAAGGCATAGTTGAAAAAGCGAGGGAATAGAAAGAGTATACAAACAAAGGAGAAAATACAAAAGGCAAATAATAGCACAAATAAGGCATAGTTGTCAATGCGAGGGAAAAGAAAGTGTATACAGACAAAGGAGAAAATACAAAAGGCAAATAAGAGCACAAATAAGGCATAGTTGAAAAAGCGAGGGAAAAGAAAGAGTATACAGACAAAGGAGAAAATACAAAAGGCAAATAAGAGCACAAATAAGGCATAGTTGAAAAAGCGAGGGAAAAGAAAGAGTATACACACAAAGGAGAAAATACAAAAGGCAAATAAGAGCACAAATAAGGCATAGTTGAAAAAGCGAGGGAAAAGAAAGAGTTTACAGACAAAGGAGAAAATACAAAAGGCAAATAAGAGCACAAAAAAGGCACGTTTAAGAAGAGATAATAATAAAACCTCACACAGACAATGCTCTACTTTAGCAGAGAAAGTGTGAGAAAAATGCAGGGCACAATCTAGAAAAAAAGAAGGTTAATAAGTGCACAAATAAGGCACAAGTGAAAAAAGGGACAAAAAGTGCACACAGACAATTCACTACTTTCGCTGACACACTGAGAAAAATGCGCGACACAATCTAGACATAAGAAGGCAAATAAGAGCACAAATAGGACATAACTGACAAAGTGGGATGAAAAAGAAAGTGTATACGGATAAAGGAAAAGTTACAAAAGACAAATAAGAGCACAAATAAGTCACAGGTGAAAAAGAGAGAAAAAGAGAGAAAAAGAGAGAAAAAGTGCACACAGACAATGCAGTACTTTAGCTGACAATCTGAAAAAAAAAACTACACAATATAGAATAAAGGAAGAAGGCAAGTATGAGTACAAAGAAGGTATTGAAACAAAGAATGGAAATACAAAATAACTTTAATAAAGAGAAGATAAAACAAAACATAATTCAATTAGGGATGTGTATAAAGACAACCGAATTGGAAATAATGTCAGTAAAAAAAAAAAATTATCTTTCAGTTTTATTTTCTTTTTATTTATCGTTTTCTGTTATTTTATTTTATTTTTAAACGTGCTGGAAACAACGACAAGATGAAATTACTATTACCGAAGCGATAAGACAAGAAAACACGCCAATCGAGCAAGAGTGGTGATGTTTGCAATGACATCATGTCACTTCTTTCATTTGTGAATGGGTGCAATTAATGTCTGAAACGTCTCTCAAGATTTAGGAAGAAACAGGCTACGGTCTGTTTGGGTTTTCTCAATCCCACAGCGCCTTCCCGAGTTGACGTCAATAACGCTCTTAATTCTTCTAAGTGACATTGATTAGCGGCACTTGAGGGAATCATTCAGTGGTAGAGTGCAAAACAGGTAACTGCAAGGACAATGAATAAGTTTTTCACCGCAGGATGTTGGAAAGTAACAGCATAAACTAAAGTGACAAAATATGGAGGCTGCATTATACCAGGAGGACTAAGCGAAATGACGTATTTATATTATATTAATGACTGGCATATACAAGGCTAAAGAGTCCCTCAGGCTAGAGTTTTACTGAACTAGGTGTGTGATATGAACGTAAAAGGAGGAAGTAGAAAATGAAGATTGTGAGGATTTGGTTATTTTCTAAGCGTAGCTTAGATGTGGCATAGTTGACAAAGGCATATTATTACAATCTCGGGTACCTCGGCGTGGTGTAATGGTTAGCAAGCTTATCTCGCTAGATAAGTTACAACTGAAAAGTGAGTTCGTTCCTCACTAGGTGCTCCATACTTTCAGCCTTGTGCCAAATCTAAACTACGCTTAGAAAATAAATATATATATATATATATATATATATATATATATATATATATATATATATATATATATCGACCGAGCAAGATAGATAGCGATACTTACCTTTTCTGAGTCGGAATTTCGCCTATTTGCTCTCCGAGGGATAAGGATGCTTCAATATTAATTTGAATTTGATTTATTGTTATTAATGCTATATCTGATAATATTTTTCAGTTTAATCATAAACACTGCTCACTTTAAATCGTTATCCTCCAGAAATATCACGCATAATTTTATTTAAGGAACAAAATCACATTGCTAAGGAGCGAGAAGAATGGAAGAGTAATCAGGTCGACAACAGATAGCGATTGACACTCCATTTAATTTTTTTGTAATTGTCTGGAAATCATGGAGCCGGAATAGAGTTCAACAAGAGAGAAAAAAATGTTAGAATTTACGGCTATATCCTGTCAACTCAACTGTAAAGACCTCATCGCTAGCCTAATACTGCGCTTAAATTGAAGGGTCTTACCACCACACCAGAGACCTCATATATATATATATATATATATATATATATATATATATATATATATATATATATATATATGAAATGGACTATGTCCGACAATTATTTTAAGATATTTTTAATTTTCGTAATTTATATAGGCACAAATCAATGTGTTGTTTATAATAAACAGTATTAATAACATTTACCGGCCTGAATATCCGAGAAATTTCATAGAAAATATGTATCTTCTGGCATGAGAAATTTGTAGTTTAAAAGCAGTACTTCGACCTCGCTGATCAGACGATTCCTTTGTAGCTAAAAAGGTATAGCCCGAAACTAGCTTCAATATATAATTGTCGGACTTAGTCCATTTATATATATATATATATATATATATATATATATATATATATATATATATATATGTGTGTGTGTGTGTGTGTGTGTGTGTGTGTGTGTGTGTGATAAAATAATATTAAAGAACTATATTAAAGAATGAATAATAGGTGTGTGTGTGTGTGTGTGTGTGATAAAATAACTATATTAAAGAACCAATAGGTAATAAATCTATAAGTAATAATTATTATGTACATGAATAAATTTCTTGAATATATATATATATATATATATATATATATATATATATATATGTGTGTGTGTGTGTGTGCATGTTTCATTAAAAAACGACAGACAAGGTACTACGGTTAAGCTTTTTAGTTAATTTTTCTTGTGTTCGCACAAGACCTTACTTTTCTGGACAAAGAGCGTGTAGAAAGTGTCTGAATGTTTTATAGTTCCGAGCGCTTTCGGCTATATCTTTAGCCATTATCAAGGATGATTCGATTTATCTGCTTTATATCGGCATTATATCGTTTTTAATGAAACATGCATAAATGTCGTTTTTAATGAAACATGCATAAATGCACATAATGCACACACTCAATTAAGCTGAAAAATTGAATCATCCTTTCTAATGGAAACTAACTTTAAGCATTTATCGAAAACATTTTCACATAAAAACTCTCGAAATTTTACTCAAATGTTACGAAGAGTTAACTGACTAGTAAATGGAAAGTAGTCAT